AAAAGGAAAGCGAAAGAGCTTAATGAAAAATATACACAAATAGTAAAACTACATCTCGACTTAATATACGACCAGAACAAAACCCCAACAAGGCAGAAAACCCCCACACCACTACCATCAAAAAAAAAAAAAAACCGACCCACAAAACAAAACCCCAGAAAATAAAAAAAAAAAAAAAAAAAAACCCAAAAAAAAAAAAAAAAAAAAAAAAAAAAAAAAAAAAAAAAAAAAATCCCCCCAGAACGCATACTCCTAGTTCCGAAGTGCTTGAGTGGCCAACCAAAATGAGGGTTGTTGATGTGATGTACAGTCTTTCCAAACCAAAGCCTCAGTAGTGAATTCCCGACTCCGTGTCTCCAATTCGCCATTGAAGCGGGGAGAAGATTCCGTGATGAAAGCGAGTAGAAAAAAGGAAAATCCGGAAACAAGGAATGGCTGCCTTGAGGAGACGAAGGTTCAGAAGTAAGATGGTTTACTCAAGATTGGAAAATTATTAAAAATGAACGTCCCATCAAATCCACCCAAACTTCCTTTTGAATCCTCAAATATTGTTCGTGATAACATCAATTGCAGCGTCGTGTAACATGGGTATCTGTCTCCGGATTCGCGAAAGGAATGTGTATAGAATTGGCCGGAAATTGTACAGAGTTGTCGACCGTCTTTCCCGTCGTACCAACTTCACTCATAGGCCATCTATTTCACGCGACCCATGATGTCTTCGACATCTTTCTGATTGACGACTACGCCGCCTTCAGAGCATCTGGCTTTGGTACGCAATTCCGAACAGAGATTGTCCACATCGATCTCGCCGTTGCGGAATTTCTCCATGGATTGCAGACGATCCCTATGGCAAAATTAGTTAGCAAAAAATTAGAGAAGGGTGGCCACGGATCTGATTGAGCATACCATATTTTATTGCATGTGAGCATTTGCGACTGGTCCTCGCCAGGCACCACCTCTTCATCGTCGTCCAGTTTGCTGTCAATTTCCGCGATAAGATCCTTCTTGGGCGCCGCTGAGTGCTTCGTCGCCTCGGTAAGATTGTGGGATGGGCTGCCCAGGTCGGGTAGAGGGAAAGCATCGTCGAAAAATGTACCAAAGTCTTGGGATAAGATAGCATCTTGAGGCTCACGCCAATCACCGAACAGCACAGGATCGAATTGGCCTCCATTCTGTTGAGCCAGAAGATCCAAACCCGGAGCCTGGTCGGAATTGTTGGCATGGCCAGGGGTGTTCGACGCGCTTTCGCTATTTTGTCTCGCAGCTGGAATGGGATTATTGATGTTGCCACATGCCATACCAAGTTGAGCGCAGAAGGATTCCTCACCATTGATGGTGCTATAGGTGCATATATGGGAAGTGCTACCTTCGGTCGCCTTTACGGCAGGCGAGTGCGAACATGGCTCAGGCGAGGTTCCATTGGAAGAGAGCAACTGACTATGATGCGAATCCGAAGAGGATGATGGAGAGTCGGAGCTAGGGGTATCGTGAGTTGCCTGCTTCGTATTCGCGTTGTACGAGGAATTGACTTGGTGCGCGTAGCCCCTGCTGATTCCATTGTTATCATTGGCCCCGTTCGAAGTACCAGAGCCAGGTCTTCTAGATGATTGCGAATTCGGTGTCTGGCCGTTAGGACTCGAGCTGTTCAGAGCGTTGCGGTTGAGCACGCCGGGAACCTGAGCTTCGCTGCGTGGAGTTGCTGTCTGGCTGTCTTTCAACTTGTTCTGACTCGATTTACCGGCTTGCGCGTTGGTGAACAAGTGCGAACCGGGTAGATCTCCGAACTTGGGAAAGTCGAACAGGAAATCGTTGTTGTTCAGACCGTACATTCCTCTGGAGTATGCACCTGGGATGGCATTAACGGGAGAGATACCGCTGCCGCTCGTTACCCAGGAAAGACGCTTGCGATACTCCTTGAGCTCAACCTGCAAACGCTCCACCTGAGCGCGCAGAAGTCCGTTTTCCTGATTGGCATTATCAGATGCTTTTTGTAGCTCCTCCACCTTGGCCTCCAGATCCTTCAAGTGCTTTTCTTTGCGCTCACGGAAGGCTCGCTGAGCTGCGCGATTCTGTGCCTTGCGCTTCTGTCGGAAATGTCAGCACCCGCAAAAGTCAAATTATTTACGGAATGACCTGCATAGAAAACAAAGGATCACAGAAAACATACCGATGTAGGTTCCGAGGTCAACGGCTTTCTACCAGGCTTCTTGGCTGCTTTCTCGTCGCTCTCCCTTCGCTTCTTGCCCGGCTCCTCCTTCTCATTTTCCTGTCCATCTATATCCTTTCTCTTATCACCGGGTTCATACTCTTCAGTCAGGCTCGGGGGCAAATCACCAATCAAACTCTCGTTGCCCAGGAAATCAAGATCGAAGTCGGGATTCAAGTCGAGGAAAGGGCTATCTTCGTAGCCGAAAGTAGTCGACTGATTCACCGAGCCGTCCAAACCACTGGGGGGAGAAACACTGAGGCTGCCGGAGGAAGCATGGCCGGGTGTGTGATTGAGGTTCTGATTTGCTTCGGGTTTCTGCGTTACTGTTTGTTGTTTCTGAGTCGGGTTGCTCGATGAAAGAGCCGCGAGGAGGAGGTCCTGTTGATCGGGAGAGAGATAAAGGCCTTGTTGATAAAGAGTATTGTAGTCCGCCATGGCAGCTGAGAGAGAAGTTGGGTATCGATTGTGAGGGATGGTTGGATGATCCAGGTCAATTGAGGGTGATCTTTGGCCAACTGACGGCTTGTTCAAATATAACGCGGTGTTGAGTTCGTTAGCTTATCTGTGTCTCCTCAACCTGAAAAGGCCCGGGCTTCCCGCCCGTTTGTCGTTTCGATAGAGAGCACAACCAATGTGGAGAGTGCTGAACTTAGGTGCTGATGAGAAGAGGGAAAGACGACCGAAGCTCTTACGATGCCACCCCGCTTCAGCAAGGCGTCAATTATATTGACGTCAGGATCAAACGGAGTGTGGGAGGATCAGAAAAGACCCAGCAGAACGAATTCCATGCAAGGGAGTTGAGTGCGATATGAGATATGAAGGAAAGAATTGATTTTTGGAAGAAATTTAGAGTGGAGGAAGAGACAAGTAGCGAAAGGGTCAAGGCAAGGTGGTGAAATTAGGATGAAGGTTGCAGGAGCCAAGAGCTTATGCCAGAGTGTGGCCTAGTGGCCTAGTGTCAGACAGATGGAGGAGGTCGTATAGGGTGGAATGCCGCGGACACAGGTCTATCGACAGAGGTACCGCTTGATACCTGGCGATGAGGGGCTGCCGAACGAGGCAAATCAGGGTCCGATTGAGAGTACGTGGTTGGATATGAGCGATTGATTTCAGGCCTGGAGGTCTGAGGAGATGGAAATATTTGAAGAGAGGGTTGAAAAAGGGGACTCTGGTGATGAGGATTCGTGTAGTGAGAGAGATGTGGCTAAGAGGGAAAGTGGTACGAGGATGAAACCGAAGCGCATCATTTTCCACTTTCCGGGATGGGGGCGGCGATGGACCGGCTTCACAAGGCAATCTTTCAAAGCCTTAGGCAGGCCAGTCTTACTTTGGGTGCTTCCAATGGATGAGGTGAGATGGGGGGCAAAGGTAAGGTAAGGTAGACCAAGGCGGCGTCAGTGGTTGACAGTTCTTATTGGTTCAGTGCTGTAAAATTGATAGATGGGAGCCAATAGGACTGTCATCTGTCCCCGGCCGCTTTAGAGCGGAAAAACTGAGTGACTCGATGCTTAGAAATCAGACCAGGCCGGATATCGATTCTCTCCGCGCCGATGGACTTCCACGCGCTATTTTATTTTATTCCTTCCAGCCTTCTAGTTCAGTCGATGATCCATGGAAATGCTCAATCACAAGCTGCGTTTCGATGTAGAAGCCTGGCCTTAACTATATTTGATTGCGATGGTGTTCATCATTTGTAGTCTCTCTTTCATCCGGGGAGACTTTAACTTAGTTAATCTATGAGGGATGACTCATAGTTCAGGCATCGAGAGTTGATGTATTCTCACCGCCGTGTATCCTACTGCACCAAGTGATGATTTCCAACGCTCCGACTTTCGGAGTCCTTGGATGATGGTTCAGTGGCCGAAGCCATCATATCAATCACATAGATACGGAGTAAGATCGAATCTTCACCAGGAGAAGGCAGGATCTCGATCCCTAGCTATTCCAGAAAACCGGAGACAGTCATCAGTCATTATGCAGACTCGGGGCTCTGGAGTCTCTAATACTCCTTCCACCATGGTTTACAGCCTCGTATTCGAGTCCCATTAAGATTCCAGTGGCAATTGAAATGGGGTTACTGGTAGTGCTATTTAGGTCTTGACCAGTCAGAGGAGATCTTTCGAGAGGCAGGGACAACCTGACCACTGTAGATATCATTCTACTCTGAATCTAGACTTGACAGAACTTCTGGCTACTTTAGTTTTCTCCTTTGTCTTCTTCTCGATATTAAAATATCGAAGCGTGGATTTTGGTCATGAGGTGGCTTAGGTGAGAACTGAAGACTGACTTGGGTAATGCTACCTATCAGTCTGGAACTCATGGCATCATTAATATGATGCCCGTCTTGTCATCACTACAGAATGCACTCATCTGACATATATTAAGTCTTGCCCAAAGGATACAGGTGGAGTAATGTAACAAATTTGACTGCATACTGTTCTCCTCATTCCACTCAAGTGATATCTTAATGATGATGCTGTTCACAGATTGATAAGAAGGACTGGTCACGTGCAAGCCTTATCTGCGAAGAATCCACTAACCTCATGCGTAGTACCCCATGTCGCCTCTGTTCATAGCCACCATCTGAAAAGGTGCATTCATTTGTCTTACTCTGTGACCATAAAGCTCTTAGGGAGCACTGTGGTATATCAGGAAGGTTTTACACTTCTATCTTTCTAAACTCTTATTTCTCTCATCACATTTTCGTACTCAGTCAGCCACCATGGCGGATGTTGCAGCTCTTGAGGCAGAAGTCAAGGAATTCAAGCTACAGGTGTGTCGTATTGTCATCTACTGTGCGACTGTTTGGTATCTGACTTTTTTTTCTCTCTCTCTTGCAGCTTGAAACCGTTCAATCGAGTTTGCAGGTAGATCCAGACAACACGGAACTGCAGAGTCTTAAAACTGAACTGGAAGAACTCATAAATCTCACGGAAACATCAATCGCCGAACTCAAACCCTCTGCTCCTCCTGCGACTGCCGCAAAACCTTCTCCCCCACCAGGGAAGGAGAAATGGTCAAAAGAAAACCACCCTGCTTATCAGTCTGGGTATCGCAAGCCCACTGTCGAAACTCCGGAGGAAGCCCCAGCACCGGTTACGTTCTCCGTCAATGACCACGTCCTTGCACGATGGGTTTCGGGCGATAACTCTTTCTATCCTGCGCGCATTACCTCCATAACAGGCTCTTCTAGCAACCCTGTCTACCTGGTCTCGTTCAAGTCGTACGGAACGGTTGAATCTCTGGCAGCCAAAGACATCAGGCCCATCTCCAACGGTGATTCGCGGAAACGTAAGGCTGATGGAAGCTCAGGCTACTCTTCATCCCAGACTCCAGCCCCCCAACCCCTTCATTCCAGCGTCATCTCGGCCGCGGCAGATATCAACCCTACATTGGCAAATCAGGCGCGCAAAGACCCTAGCAAGGTCGGCGACGGACCTGCACGCCCTTCGAAGGTGGCCCGAAAAGTCAAGGCAAATCGCGAGCTTGAGGCGGGCAAGATGAAGTGGAAGGATTTCGCTAGCAAGAGCAAGCTAGGCCGAAAAGAGAGCATGTTTCGAACAGGAGAGGGGGTTAATGCCCGAGGTGAGACACCATTAGTCTAGATTTGAGAGTAATTTGCTAATTTGTATTTGAATAGTGGGCTTTACTGGCTCCGGTCAACAGATGCGGAAAGATCCCTCCAGGGCACGACATGTGTATCAGCAAGCGGATGAGGACGCCTACTAAATTGGCGGTCAACGACAAAGTGTCCAATGTTCCATTTGTGATGAAATCAATTGGACATTGGGTTTTGCGTTCTTGTTTCACTATCATCATCTGTTCACATTTCTAATCTCTATCTGTTCGTTCCTATCGCTAACTGGGAGATTGGTGACGCAGATCATCATTTTTGACTGATGTTCCGAGGCATGGAAGTTGACCGTACGTAGATTGTGGTTGTGCAAATACTGGTGACATGATATCTCCATGAGTTACATCCTCCAATACTTCCTCGCTGTTACACTCTGTTCTAATGGCAATCTTTTCATGATAGGGTCTTCTGGTTTTCTGCATCAGAGGACCATAGGTGTTATCTGCAACCTTTGCCAGATTCTGCTCTTGTAGATGCGCCGGCAACTCAAAAGGGAGAAAAAATTTTCAGAGAGGCTCCCGCTTCTATGTCTCATCTTCCGGCTACGTTGTTCTGAGATCTGGTCCGATATGATCTGTTCACTTCAGGTTTGGGAGGTTTGAAGCAATCCTGAGCTGTATAAACTCTCGGCAAAGTCTTGCTACGACCTTCCCATCGATCGTCCATGGCCACTAGTGGGCTATGTGACCTTGGGAGGCGCAAAGCTTGGCATTCGTCTACATGACGGCTCAAGATAAATCATCATGAGCGAAGGCGAAGCTGGATCGACTCACAAGACTCCATAGGGCTGAGAGGTCGTTTCTGTGCGCCTTCCAGGATTGTAGATTTATAGTTCACAGTTTGCCTGGCTGGGCTGCGGGATTCTACGAACTTTGCATAAGAAGTTTCACACAGCGATGATGGTCTCGTCTTGTCTCGAAAACCGCGGTCAGCTATTAGGTCATGCGTCCGGAAAGCTTTCCATTGGCCAGCATCTGTATCCCGAATCTCTGCCTGACAGCAGCTCTTGACCATTATATTATCATGACGCAGGTTGTCACCTTGTATAAAAGCAATACTACTTTCGCATCACCGCAGCATGACACCAGTACATCTCCATAACATATGCCCAACAATCCAAGCCACCACAGCTCACCATGTCGCGCAACGTCTGCATCACCTCCGTAGAAGGCAACACAGGCTTCCTCATCGCCGAGCTCCTCCTCTCAGACGAGAACTTCTCCAAAGCAATCGGCACCGTCCACGGCCTAACCCTCAACCCAAATTCCCAGCGCTGCAAAGACCTACAAACCCTAGGCGCCACCATCGTCCCCCATCAACCGGGCCGTCTGAAGAACGTCGCCGCCAGCATCAAAGACACCAACTCCGACACTCTCTGTCTGGTCCCGCCAGCTAGTCGCGACAAAATCGACATCACGGCCGAGCTCATCGAGGCGGCCAAGCGCGCCAATGTGCCGAATGTGGTCTTCCTCAGTGCTGCGGGATGTGATCTCGCCGAGCGGGATAAGCAGCCCCGTCTGAGGGAGTTTATTGATCTCGAGGCTATGTTTCTGGGTACGAAAGGGGATCCGAGCTCGATGGCGGGGCATTCGCCTGTTGTTATCCGGTATGTTTCTTTCCGGCCATTGCATTTTGCATGTTTAATGATACCGGTTCTAGGGCTGGCTTCTACGCTGAGAACTTGCTTGCGTATTCTCCCCAGGCGAAGGAGGAGGGATACCTCCCTATACCGATCGGACGCGACCATAAATTCCCCCCCGTAGCACTGGGTGTAAGTCTGGCTCTCAGCGCATAAAGACGT